TGAATGTTTAGTTTATGTTTTTAATGTCTTTCTATGCTTGCAAGAAACTTAGTACATGAAATAAGTGATCGATTCATTTGTGATTAGGTTTGTACTCGTGTCGTGATAGAACAATGAATGAGTTAACATGATGTTGTGGTGAAAAATCCTTTTTGTTGATTATATTAGAAATATGTATTTTTGTTATTATTGGAGATACCGAAAGTTATTTTAGAGCGAGGAAATATTTTTATTTTATAATTATGTTATTCTTTTATTAAATTTTTATTATGAAAAGGGGTTGTTTTAAAAATTAAGGTGGTTAATTTTGTCAACTTTAAAGAGGTTGATAATAAGATTTTAAAAATTTTTTTATCGTGAACTTCTAATATAATAAAAAAATCATAAAATATTTTGAGTATAACTCGAATTCACTTATATAAATATTATTTAATTTTATATCCGATCATAATATACTATCATTGTCCCTGCCCTCGAGGCTTGTCTCAGATCGAAGTGGATGTCTCTGGACTCCAGTATTTAGTATGTATCTGATACAGAATTGGACATGGAATGTGTTTAAGTAGTGTCAGAATCGCATAATGTGTTATGTATGTATCACATACACATTCATGTTAGCAATGCTCTTAAGTCTATCAAAATTGTAAAAATATGTTAAGCCTATATCGGATACACATTCATGTAAGTAATGTGCTTAAGTAATATTAGAATCATAGAAATGCGTTAAGCTTGTATCAGGTACGCAATTGTGTATTTCGTCTTTGTTGTTCTTGTCTTGAACACTCTAAGAAAAAAAACAAATAAGCATACAAAAGAGGAAGAAATTGTGTGTGTGTGTGTGTGTGTGTGTGTGCGCGCGCGCGCACATGTGTGTAATAATGTACAAATAAACAATGAAATGTATGGGTAGATAAAACTTCAACGGCGACTCTGTCGTGGATGGTCGGTATACGTGATTTTTGGTTGTTGTCTTTCCTCAGGGCCCGAGACCTTTCAGAATCTTCCTACTCCATCGTGGATATCTACCTAAAGTAACTTATAGATGACAGATGGCATGTCTCTAGGTGATTTAGTTGGCCCAACTTCAGGGTCTTAATATCCAGCTTATCCAATTTGGGCGATGTCGTTCGGGGGACGTTGTCTATGAGCATCTTCGTCTAGATCCCGATCATGATGGAACCGCTTCACTTACTTGGGGATTGATATTTGATCCCAGACGCTTTTGTTCCTTAAGTGGTGCCCCCACCCCCCTGTGCTAGCCTTTCTGGTAAATACTGGACTATGTGATAAGGGAAGCCCTAAACATGGTCTGAGAGGGAAGTTTCCTCTAGTCAGAGGTCCTTTGGTACCGATAGAGGGTGTCCCAACACGTACCCGCACCTGTTTTTAACTATGAACTTGAAGTATTCTAGCGAAGCGGCCTCGGTAAACACCCAAGTAAGGGGGAAATGAAGGTGACATTGGATCGGAAGAAGAATTGCGAACCTCTTTTATGACCTCCAGGGAGATTTCCTTCATACCCCAACATAAACCTAAATCGGGTTCTCAAACTCTTCCCTTTGTTATTTTGCGGAGTTCTCAATGGAATCAGAGATCTGAATCTATTTAATCGCGATATAAACGGAGACTATCTGAATCGACTGCGGTATCTCTTTGTGTTTGCCTCTAAACGCTCTTGATTTTGAGATTTCAAAAGGTTGAGTATGATTAAAATGGAATGCGATTGCAGATTCGTGGAATGTGTGGAAATCAGAAGTCAAATTTTTCTTGATTTTGTGACCTAAGGAAGTTAGGAACCAGTAAATCGAAGGTTAGATATGAAATTATGGAAATTGTTGGAATCAGAAGTCGTTTCTCAGAGACGGCATCATAGTTCCGTTCGGGAATCAGAAAAAGATACAGTTGAAAAATGAATGATCTTGAATGGTGGCTCCATACCATTTGTAACACCCCAGACTGCTTTCAGAATTACTTACTGACCCCACAAACCTACACGTGTCTTTTTATCATGTTTTGTCCTCACTCACATGCTTTTCAAGAAACTTCCCAGAAGGCCACCCATCCCAATACTACTCCAAGTCAAACACGCTTAACTATGGAGTTCTTATTAGTTAAGCTACCGAAAAAAAGATGCATTTTGTTGGTATATATATTACCAATTAATTCTTATAAGTCTTTCTTCAATCATGCAGTCTCATACCTGCATAGCCTCATGATCCCTCTCATTCCGATGTAAATCCCGTTTATCCCTAGAAGCTGCTATAAGTGTCTTATTGTCATGCCTCATGCACCGACAACCACTCCTTCGCCCTCAAGTGTTACACACAACCACTTTCCTTCCTCTTCGACCTTAGGTGTTACAACATTCATCTACACGACATATATTTTGTCTCAAATTAATTAATTAAATTTAATATTATTTTAAACAAAATTGAAAGAACTTATTGTATATAATTTATACATGATTTTTTTGAAAAACAAGCCCCTAAAATATTATTGGAATATACAAAAATAAACATGAGATATACATTTATCACAAAGTATTAGATGAATCAATGTTTTTTAATATTCTAAAAATAAAATAGAGAATAATTACAATACTTTAAATATATTTTTTACACTTCAGTTTAGAGTTTCACATAAAAATATAAAACTAAAGTACTTCACCTTTTAAAAAATTTCGTGTTTGAGGAATTGCGTATTGGGATAATTTTATTTTACCTTAAAAAAGGTAAACTAGATGAGGGAAAGACAAGGCAGTTTGCGTTGAGCACATGACTAACACTTATCACCGCCCAAAGTTGAGCTTGTACTTGCCTACTAACTATAATGTGTGCCCATTGTTTGCAACATTCTCTCTTTGTTCACTACAATCGAACGGTGTTGTGATTGATTAAAACCACCTATTGCCCACTCACGAAACATGAGAATTAACGTGTCATAGGGTATTAACGGTATAAAAGTTGGGTCAAAGAAAGTAACCAAGTCCCCCCACAAAACTAAGGAGAGTAACAAGTTCCATGTTCCTGAGCAGAGCAGGATAACGACCCATGGGTCCAAAGATCGAGGCCCACTAAATATCTACAAATACCTCAACCACGGGGTTGAGAAAGGAGATTCAATTCACTCAGAAATAACTTAAATACAGAGATTCTCACCACCCGTGTGTGAGCTTACTCTAACATAAAAAAAACCACAAACCATCAGACAACCCTACACAATTAGGGGTTGTCATTCATTGTACTTTTAGCAAGTACAACGTGCAACCTTCGTGGGATCTAGTAAAACTAGCATGGGGTTGTCATGCAGTTTCATACTTGCACAGCCTCAGAATCCCTCTCATTCCGATGTAAATTCGGTTTATCCCTAAAAGCTGCTACAAGTGTCTTATTGTCATGCTTCATGCACCGACAACCACTCCTTCGCCTTTAAGTATTACATGTAACCACTCTCCATCCTCTTCGATCTCGGGTGTTACAACATTCATCTACACGACATATATTTTGTCTCAAATTAATTAATTAAAGTTAATATTATTTTAAACAAAATTGAAAGAACTTATTGTATATAATTTATACATGATTTTTTTAAAAAAAACAAATCCCTAAAATATTATTGGAATATACAAAAATGAACATGAGATATATATTTATCACAATCAATGTTTTTTATCCTAGAAATAAAATAGAGAATAATTACAATACTTTAAATATATCTTTTACACAGTTTCACATAAAAACATAAAACTAAAGTACTTCACCTTTTAAAAAATTTCGTGTTTGAGGAATTGTGTATTGGAATAATTTTATTTTACCCTAAAAAAGGTAAACCAAATAAGGGAAAGACAAGGCAGTTTGCCTCGAGCACATGGCTAACACTTATTGCCGCCCAAAGTTGAGATTGTACTTGCCCACTAACCATAACACGTGCCCATTGTTTGCAACATTCTCTCTTTGTTAGCTACAATCGCACGATGTTGTGATTGGTTAAAACCACCTATTGCCCAGTCACGAAATATGAGGATTAACGTGTCATAGGGTATTAACGGTATAGAAGTTGGGTCAAAGAAAGTAACAGAGTCCCCACAAAACTAAAGAGAGTAACAAGTTTCATGTTCTTAAGCAGAGCAGGATAACGACCCATGGGTCCAAAGATTGAGGCCCACTAAATATCTACAAATACCTCAACCACGAGGGCTGAGAAAAGAGATTCAATTCACTCAGAAATAACTTAAATATAGAGATTCTCACCACCCATATGTGAGTTTGCTCTAACATAAAAATTATAAAAAAAAAAACCATAAACCATCAGACAACCCTATACAATTAGGGGTTGTCATTCATTGTACTTTTAGCAAGTACAATGTGCAACCTTCGTAGGATCCAGTAAAACTAACATGAGTCATGCTCACTATCACCCACCAGTCTCCTTCGTCATATTCTCCACGGGGATGATGACACAAAGTTTAAATCTTATTGTTAGCACCATAACAGGAAGTTCTACAAGTGAGGGATAATTTAGTTTTTTTCCGCCAGAAGTATGCTCGACAGATTTTAACGGCAAGTGTTGTACTCATCAATCCTAAAATAAATTTGAAGAAAGAGCCAGAGACTCGAATCACCTTCTCATAACAATGATCTCATTGGTCATCACAGTATGATAATCAGAATGTAAAATAAATACGGATTAACTCTCAAAACTCAACAAACATCTTGTTCTAAAATGTCATTGAGAGACTTCGGCTTGTCTCGAGGGACATCCGAGCATTTTAATGTTGATTTTTTATATTCTAAAATATTTATTACTATTAATAAAAAATTGATTGTAAGGCAAGTTGAATTGTCAAAAGCAATAGTAGTATTACATTCGACAACTTTCGTATTCAAACCCAATATGGTAATTTAAAAAGGTCAGAGAATCGAACATAAAATGTTTTGCGAAATGGGTATAAATAAGGACCTGCGTGTTGGAATTTGGTTGGTAAGCAGTCACTAGAGAGAATGAGCAGCAGCGCAGGAAAGGTTGTGTGCGTCACCGGTGCTTCCGGTTACATCGCTTCATGGATCGTCAAATTTCTTCTCCGTGGTGGTTATACCGTTAAAGCCACCGTCAGAGACCCAAGTATATTACTCTCTATGCTTTATTTTCTTCGTTCTTTTATTATGTTCTATTCCATTTCATAATCGATAATTGCATTTGCAGATGATCCCAAAAAGATCGATCACTTGCTTAAACTTGATGGCGCTAAGGAGAGATTGCAACTCTTCAAAGCTAATCTACTCGAAGAAGGTTCCTTCGATTCTGTTGTTCAAGGCTGTTATGGTGTTTTTCATACTGCATCTCCTTTTTATCATGATGTTAAGGATCCTCAGGCTGAATTAATTGATCCTGCCTTGAAGGGAACTCTCAATGTTCTCAAATCATGTGCTAAATCTTCATCTCTCAAGCGTGTTGTTTTAACCTCTTCTATGGCTGCTGTTGCGTACAACGGAAAGCCACGCACTCCTGAAGTTGTTGTTGATGAGACTTGGTTTACTGATCCTGATCTCTCTAGGGAGTCAAACGTATGTGCCTAATTCCATTTCTTTTTCCCCGAAAAAAATATACTCTGATTGGCATACTAAGTGTTTGTTTGAATGATTAGCGAGTTTGGTCAAACCCGCTAAGTGTTTGTTTGAATGAATTGTGGTATTTGCAAAAGAATTTTGTTAACAACATACTCTCTAACGCTCAATTTTCAACTGACACTTTGTCCAATGGATTGAAATTCAAACTGGTGTAATCAATTTATGAGCTCTTTAGAGAGCGCGGGTTTACAAGAGTGTGTTAAAGATTGTGATGCTAGCATTCTTCTTGGTGAAATTAAAGTGAAACTGGGTTTTCCCTTAGCTTTAAGGTGCAGTTTTTTTGTCAAAGTGGCTATGGTTTATTGTGATTTTGTCAAAATCATAGTCAATCCTAACATGGACCGAAATTTTATATTGCTTTGCTTCTTTGTACTATTTGTGATTTAACAATATTTTCAATTTTTATTTTGTATGTGGTAGATGATAGAATTTTTTGCTTTTAATTGTGATAGAAAGAATGCATTTCTGAAAATAAGAAAAATAGTGTTTAGAAATTTTCCAAAGATATCCAATCTATATTCATATGCATTTTCAAAAACTTTTATGATGCTTTGTAGAACGTTTTTATCTCTTGAAATGGAAGCAATAAACACTACAAGTAAACGGTCTCACCTAGTGTTTCAATCTTATATGCATTACGCAATTGCTATTGTAATACAATGATAATGCTTTTGTTCCAATGTCTGCAAAGTGTGTCTAATGATTTATCATTAAAGAGTTACACATCGGGTGAGGTATGACTTGGAAATATGTTTATAAGGGGGGTACTCTTCATTTTCAAATCGTTTTTGTAACCACAATTCTAAGATGGTATATCTATCCAAGATCGGCTAGGTCACCTGTTATTAATATTAAATTTATGTTATCAGGCCACCCACCATGTATATCCATGCAAACCCAACCACAATTCCAAGGTTTATCATGTAATAAATTATGCTTTCATTTTGCTATCATTTGACTTGTTTCTATTCCTATTGATCCTTTCAGCTGTGGTATGTGCTTTCAAAGACATTGGCTGAAGATGCTGCATGGAAATTTGTAAAAGAAAACAACATTGACATGGTTACTATTAACCCAGCTATGGTAATAGGGCCTCTATTGCAACCAGTCCTAAACACAAGTGCTGCTGCAATTCTAAACCTGATAAATGGTATTTAATTTCCATTTACATGTAATGCTGTACACTCTGTTTTTACTTTCAGGACATGTGCATTTTAATTTGAATGATATGAGTGTCTATTTCCTTTTATTTCTAGCTTCTTGTTGATCCTTGCTTAATTTTAATCGTAACAGTTTTCGTTGAGCTGGATGAGAGTATGTTTCCTGTTATTTTTAGTTTTGATTGTTGTCTAATCTTTTTATTTATTTATTTCATATTTGCCATTGAATTTCCCGCAATGTGTCAATAGTTGTTTATTGAGTTTTAACTAATATAAGCGGTTCCTATGTGCTTCAAATATATTTGCCTTTAACAGGACAAGATATTATCCTTGTGTAGATAACAGAAGCTCTTTCACTGCCTTGATACAGGTGCACAAACATATCCAAATGCTAGTTTTGGATGGGTCAATGTGAAAGATGTTGCAAATGCCCATATTCTGGCGTACGAGAATGCTTCGGCTAGTGGAAGACATTGTTTGGTTGAGAGAGTCGTGCACCACTCAGAAATTGTGAAGATTTTACGTGAACTGTACCCTTCGCTACAACTCCCAGAGAAGTAAGATCAATAATTTAAATTACTGTTCTTATCTGATATGCTGCATTCTTTAAAGCTTTATATACCTGTTTGTAACTCAATTACTCTCCGTGCTAAAAATGAATGGAGTCAGTCATCACTAACATTTGTTTCAGGGTTGTTAATTATGGCTTCAGAATAAGGTAATTGCACAAAACATACAATAATTGCGAGGGCATTGAATGAGAAGAATATTTTAGAAAAAGCCCTTGCCTTACATAACAAGATTATATCAGGAAATTATATCAGTAGTAATAAACAAAGATTAAATCTAATTATGAATATAATCGCCTTCTAGCTAGAGCATAATAATTCATCCAACTAATTATTGGAGCTCACTAGAGTGAGTATAATGAATGCCTGAAAGGATATTCTCTATGATAAAGTGGTAATCAACTTCAATGTTTTTTGTCTCATCAAACATGAAGTTTGAAGAACAATACAATGTTGATTGATTATCACACGTAAGTTCCCATAGGACCTAATTATAATCACATATTTCAACTATTTGAGTTTGTTTTAACCCAATATTTCACCTTGACCTTTCCCTATTAGTTTGCTTCTTGCTTCTTAATGAAATTTAATTTCTCCAAATCAAGTCACAATTACTTGAAGTAAACCTTCTATTGCTCATGTAAGAAGGTTGGCATTGGGATCCCCTGCCATCAATAGGAGTGTCGTGAATTTAGAATTGTTATAATTAGAGTTTGGCCCCCATGCACCTAGCACTATATTGGGCTTGGTGCACATATGAATGGTGGGTGGCTGGAATCGATAGGCTCATGATATCATGGCATAATTAGAGTTTGGCCCGGCTTGTAAGGTGAGGGGTGTCAGTCTATATAAACCCTTTGTCGGCTCTATCTTTTAACCAATGTGGGTTTTGGGTTTTTCTCCATAACAATTAAGCATGTTTTATCACTAAGGATATCCAGAGCACACTTTCTTAATTTATGGTCATACATGAAATGCATCACGGAGACAAAAAAACAAAACAGATTAGGAAGAAAATCTTGAATCTTTATATCCATTTGTTCTCTAATTAATATGTTTTCTATCATATTACTTAAATTACCAAGTGTTTGTGGCCCAAATGATTCTTTTGATATGTTTTAACCCAATATTTCACCTTGACCTTTCCCTATTAGTTTGCTTCTTGCTTCTTAATGAAATTTAATTTCTCCAAATCAAGTCACAATTACTTGAAGTAAACCTTCTATTGCTCATGTAAGAAGGAGAGCACATCCATGTGGATGAATGTGAGTTGGGAGGTTGCTTTATGTTGCCTGATAACCCATTATTTGTACCTGATCACCTTTTGATATATGTATGTTAGTGAGGCTTATTTCAGTATAGCTTTTATTATTTTGCACCTTTTAGTGTAAACTCAGTTAGCTTCTGGACCCCAGTGTTATCACACACATACTGTTTCACCAAAGTTTTGCTAATTGGTTTTTCAATAACTTTAGCACCTTCAATCATTTTGGGTAACTTTGAAGGCACTGTGACTCGAACCTTCCTCTATTTTTGTGTTTGTATATTTATTGTTATGCTAAATTTCAAATTTATATTAAACTGTTCATTTGGATTCATTGCTGAATTAATTGTTTCTGAAAGAAGGCCTACAAATGTTGTTGAATATGCGAAAACTATAATACTACATGATTCAACATTCAGTTCATTTCTGCATTTATATTTGTATGATTTAAGTAATTCAAGTTTACTTATTTAGATTTATCTAATACCATTTTCACTTTGTCAACACTATAACCAGGTGTGCAGATGATAAGCCGAAAGTGCCTACATATCAGGTTTCCAAAGAAAAAGTGAAGAGCTTGGGAATCGAATATATTCCTTTGGAAGTGAGCATCAAAGAGACTGTGGAAAGTTTGAAAGAAAAGAAGTTTGCCAAGCTTTAAATTGTGGTATCATGAATGTTTAGTTTATGTTTTTAATGCCAACACTTGCGAAGAAACTTAGAATGGAAAACAATGTCTGAATAAAATCCAACCTGCGAAGTACTAAAATAAGTGATTCGTTGGTGATTTGGTTTGTACTCATGATGGAACAGTGAATGAGTTATATGGTTGTGAGATTGATTTGTAGATGTGCTATATGAAGGTTGTATAATCCAATATTGAACCGATCTTTTTGATGCATTATATTAGGAAAACTGTATTTTTGTTATTATTTAAGGAGCTCTATCTTTCAACGAGCGAGCACAAATAAGAAGCAACGCGGCCAAGCTTGAGTCATCTTCAAAATAAGCTTGGCGTGTGCATGAATGGGAAAAGAAAGTGGAGCAGGCTTCCACTTTGTTTTAGTTCCTAACTTGAAAAAAACGGATTTTTTGCAAACTAATTTGAAAGTTTTTCCTAAATCGTGGAGGTATTGTGACTCACTTTGGGTTGACAAAGAAAAAATCACTCGTTTTAATTTGTGACTTGTAGTTCATGATTGAAATGAAGGTGAATTATTATAATCATGGTGTCCTTGTGATTTTAAACAAACATGTATATATAAGATGGAGAATTTCAAATGCAAGAGGATGAACAGTTGTGATGTATTTCTAAATATTTTTTCTTGTTTACTTTTTACTGTACTTATCACCCATATAAAAAATTAATATTAAATATTATTATTATTTAAAAATTAATTTAAAAAATAATTAAATTTTAATATTTAAAATAAATTTTAATATTAAAAAGTTAATTTAGAGAAAATATCAGTTAACCAAAGTTCTAAGTGGCTACTGCACTTCTATTATTGAGTATCATCTTGCTTCTTTTCTTTTTTTCTGGAATTGCTTAATGCATAGAGTTCGGAAATGTGTCTCCGATTATAAGGTTATGCCAAAATCTGTCGATTCATAGCTTCACCAATCGTACGCTTATTGAACTAGACCAGTTTTAGCTTAGGATTTGAACTAGACCGACCCATCCGCCGCTTCTCACTTCCATTCCTCTCCCTTACAATCGCTCACCTTCTTCTTTATTTATGTGAAGTTGATACACCCGAGATACGAGATACTTCACTGACTAAGTAGTTGTGTTTTTGTAAAACCGATATATATTTGTTTAGTAAATAGTAGTTTCGCAAATACTCATTTTAGCTACTAAAAATTGTTTAAAATTTAAGGTAGAGCAAGTTTCGCATAGAACCATAAATGACTATATTGGTTCATTTTAGCCAGCATATCCATTTTGCTATTATCATCAGTATCCTTCTGACATATATCTTGACATATATTTGTATCTTCCAATGGATCTGATATATCTGATCCATCAGGATCATTTATATAATTTGGATCTGATGTCTCCAATAGATCTGATCTATCTGATCCATCCAGATAATATATTTCATTGGAATCTGATGTCGCCAATGGAATCTGATGTTACAAACTCTATTAAGTTTCGCTAGATTTTATGTTATAATTTTTTTTAAAATATTGTAATTGAAAATAAATAAATAAAGATTATAAAATTAGTTATATTAAAAATATAAAACGATGCTTAAAATAGAATATTTTAATATTTTACTAATTTGATAGTTTATTGATATATAAAGATGTTAAGAAAAGTTATTTTGTCTTAAGATGAAAAATGGTAAGTGAACATAAGAATAACATGGCCAATTTTAAAGTCTAAGTACGCAAAACACGCTCTTCCTACATCCTTTTCGGACTCATTCTCTCTTTACCTTATCATACAAGAAACAAAACAAACAAAATCACTTATTCATAATAAACAAATGGGAGGTCACCTACTCCTCCCTTCATCTCTGGTAATTCATTCATTCTTCACCTGCCTAAGGATCTTGTGAAAATTCTTAAACTATTCATTGTCTTTATACAATTTTGGATATGTATGTTACATGGAATGGATCACATTATCTTTCCATTTTATTATAATTTTCACATTAGGTAGTTTTTATTTGGTCTAACTCATCCTGCAAAATCGAGAATATCAATTTTTTTCAATGTGTGATTCCAACCACATGTATTATATTTTGCATTGTGAAATGAAATGTTGCCTGATCTCTAATTTAATTGCTTACATTACAGTTCACAGCAAAAGCATCTCTAATTAGTTTTGTCGAGTGTCACGTCAGAACGCATTGCATTTATTAATTGATCGAGGTTAGTTTAATTGCACATTTTAATTATTATTATTATTTCCTTTGAAAACATGTAACAATTTTATCTGCACTACACTGCAGGATCATACAGGTGACAAATAAATGCAAAATTCGAATAGTGTACCAAACTTGAGAGACCACTCTCAATTTGAACAAGCATTTTTACTTCCTCCTAACAATAAAATGAGTAGTAGTAATAGATGTGATGAAATAGGTGAATCATGTTTGGATGGATTATTATCAGAATTAGGCGGAATGAGGCTAAATTATCGTGCGTATTCAGATAGCTTGTTATCTGAGCAGCAGCAGCAGGACGTACCTTATTGGTTGAAAGATCTCCTTGATGATGATGACGAGGAGCCTGAAGAAGAAGAAAAACTTGCTAGCAATGTATGCAGGACTCATAGAAGATCATCAAGTGACTCGATAGCATACTTGCATAATAAAAATATTCTTCAAGAACCTGATAGGAAGGAACGGAATAATAACGGAACAAACCCACAACTCTCCTTTCTGCACCAACAACATCCTAGAGTTGATCCTTCAAAACGTGTCAGAAGGTACATATACATGTCATATCTGGCCTGCTCATTATTGTTGATGATACTGAAACACTTGTTCTATTTGGATACAATACAATGCAGGCATTCAGCTCAACAGTACCGGGCGAGGAAAGTTCAATACATTGGAGAACTAGAAAGAAGTGTTCAATCTTTACAGGTAAGACGAAAAATATGGATGAATTATAGACACAAGTGTTGGAGATTAATAAAAGATATCTGATTCAATTTCTTTAAAGTGTAGGCAGAAGGATATGAAGTTTCGGCGGAGCTTGAATTTCTTGATCAGCAAAACCTGATATTAGGTATGGAGAACAGGGCCCTCAAACAACGCTTGGACAGTTTATCTCAAGAGCACTTCATTAAATGCTGTGAGTGTAGTACACCATTTTTTTATATTTACAACCTCCATTATTTGGTTTTGGTAATGTATAATGGTAGATATGGAAATGTATATTAAAGAAAACATAAGAAAGGAAGAGAGAGAGTAATAGAATAGTACAATTTCTGCTAGCTGTATTAGTACATGGGTGGGACAGCTAGCCTTTGGTGAGTGGAGAGAGAATCTAGGGATTTTTCAATAAATGATTGGTGGCTGACACCAATGAGATAATGCAGAATTTAGTGGATAAGATCTATTGAAAGAGAATAGGCCTCTATAAGAGTTTCCTTATCCTTTTCTTTCTGTTCTTCTCTAAATGACTAAGATCCTTTTCTGTTTTTCTGTCTTGATTATATGCTGTTTTACTTTTAGATATTAAATTGAACCTATCATATAAGTGGTTAATGTTGATTGTACAGTGGAGCAGGAAGTGCTTGAGAAAGAAATCTCAAGGCTTAGAAATCTTTATCAACAACAACAACAACACAGGCAGCAGCAGCAGCAGCAAAAACACAATGGCAGAAATCGATCTAAACGTCAAGACATTGATTCCTCAATTGCCAAACTCTCATTGAAGAATAAGGGAACAGAGTCATCACAGAAAGCCATATAGATTCTAAAAATATGTAGTAACGTCGCAACAAAGTCATTCATATAGATAGATTCTCAAAATATGTAGTAACATCGCAACAAAGTCATCCATATATATAATTTACATTTTATTCAAATTGGTTTTGCCATGCATTGACAATAGCATATGAGTTCCGGTAGGATATAAAATTCTCCATGTAAACTATATGTTCTTTTAATAAATTTAATATTTAATAAGGTCCATTTAAATAAGAATACAGTACCATTTATCTTTTATATTACAACTTATTAAATAAATGAAAATATTAGGGAATTACACTAAATAAACGTTTAGTCATGAAAATATTTATTTTATGTTCCTATATAAACATTACATTATGTATACATTAACTGTTTATTAGAAAGATTACCGACTGAGGGTTAAGTTAGTTATTTCCACAGGCCGAACGAGCAGTTTTAATTGATAACACTGGGTTGAATTGCAACGCTTTGAAATCTTAGTCAACTCATCAATTTCAACATTGAACATATTCTCAAGTCAGAACAGAACATGGAGTCCAAAAAGCCACTAAGTCTAAAATATATTGCAAGCTACCTAAGTTATGATTCTTCCAATATGAACTCTGTACCTGAAATTGCCTATATATATATATACATGATATTAATCTACTTTACATATCCAATACCCATATATTTTCCCTACAACAAGGAAGTACTCATATGATTGGCAAAGAAATGCTCTGCACAAATCCACTTCTCTTGACTTGATTTGCTTCCAATAAGATTCTGTAGCATGGAGGGGCCTCCGCCAAATTTTCTTTGGTACATTTTCCTCACAATTAGGTGTTTATCCAGAGCCATCAATTCCAGAAGTGTTCTACAGCTCTGTGAGAAACTTGAATCAGTGTTTACTCTCAAAGCAAATGCACAAAAACAAGGGAAACACATAGGCAATAACAGCAAAAACAATATCATATCAAAGTCGAGGTTTACAATCAGCATTACGAAACAATTAATATAGTACAGCCTCCTACACAACTAGACATAAATTGAAAACTAGAAGGGTGTAGTCGCAACTGGTAAGGTTCAATATTAACTCAGAAGAAAAGGGTATTCCGCTCAATCTTACTTGTGGAAAGATTTTTGAAGGAAAAAAAAAGAGAGAATATGCTGTGGATAACACTAGAAGAGAACAGGAAAACAAGCAAGTACAAAGAACATACTACCCCAAACCAGGTCATCATGACTTGAGTACAGATTGCAGGTGGTGACCACTATTTCTCAAAAAGTATAATGTGACACCAATGACAAGAATTTCAGAAGAGAAATCATAGAAAGGATACCTGTGGATTCAGCACGTGCATCTGACGTAGAATATCCTCCTAGCACAGAGAAAATGAAATTGTCAGTAAGCTTTTTCTTTTCTTAATGGAATACTGAAAAAGGTTTAACTTTAGCCACCGGACTTATTTTCAAGCTAAGCAAAATTGCCAGCCTCTGCCACTCATTCAATATTTTCTCACTTTAGTATTTAAAAATTGATACCTTTCCAATTTGCTGTTTTCATCTAAACTGGACTAGAGCAAAAAACTAGTATGCAACAACATCACTACTCACTAGCACCTATTTTTCAAAGTTGAAAGTTCTATGAAAACTTAAATAAATTTGGTCAAAGAACAATATATTCATCTACCTCCAATATCCCTGGGTTCTGCATCACTATTCCAAGAACACGACGTTCAAGTCCCTTGAAAACAATGCTATTGATGGTCCCATCTCCATTGACCCATGGCAATATTGGCATACATAATTCACCCGAAGAAAACTTTATTATTTCTTTCTCATGATCATGTCTCGACTGGCCAAATCTGATTTGCATGCAACCTTCATTCTTGTCAAAGGCTTGATTTTCATGGTCCACATCCTCATGTGGATGATTAAGAATTGTGACTTTGTGCACGTTATCAAGGCCAGTGTTTCTTTTCCTCAGAACATCAGCAGCAGCAGCAAAACCACTTTCTTCTGATTTGTAAAGCTTGCATGTATTATCACTTTCCTTAACGGTCTTGTTTGAGGAAGGTTGAACAGGATGAAAACCAGGCACGGCTGTCAAAAAGTACTTGTGGCGGTATAGAGCATCAACAATACGAACAGAGTCATAAGCATTGACCTAAAAAAAGAAATAAAACTTGTTTTGAAGCTGAAACAGAGAATAAACTATTATAATTTTCAGCAAAAACTTTCAATTTCTTCGGAGATAAATGGCTTAAATTACTACTGATGTCGCAAACTACAGCAAAATCTAAATTGATGTTATAAACAATTGGAACAAGGAGGAGAGAGGACCTTTAAGGCTTTTCCAAATACTTGAAGAGCATCAACAATCAGTCCATCCACATCTGCTCCTAAAAGACATAAAGCCATAAACAGAGTAAACAAACTAATAGAAAATAATTGAATACTTAATCGATTTTGTTAAGAAATGTGATTGGGCCTAACTCAACCCTACAAAACCGGTTATATATTATCCGATGTGGGACTCTTAACACACCCCCTCACACTCAGGACTAGACAACTGGAGCGTGGAAATAAATGGTGGGTGGCCTGATAGCGGAAACCATAGAAGGCCCACCCACCGGATCTTAAATTAGGCTCTTGAAACCATGTTAAGAAATGTGGTTGGGCCTAACTCAACCCTACAAAACCGGTTATATATTATCCGATGTGGAACTCTTAACAGATTTTAAACCAATTACATACAAGATTATATTTCAAAGCATCTATACCTGGCAAGTTTATAGCTTGAGAAATTTCTCCCATGGTTAATCCTTGGTCACCAGCCTTCTTGATGGTATCATAAACAACCATGAAGACCTCAGCACACACAGCACATTTTTGTTCTTGATTGGAAGGTACCGTCATCAAATGGCGTACATACTCTGTCATAGCTTCCCAGGGTGATTCAATGTGATTTTTATTCTCAGGTACTTGGTCACATGAGTTAACCGTTTCCAGCATATGATCAGTAAGTGAACAGTTACTGCTTTGGGCCGAGTTAACTTGAAAATTCCCCTCACAATGTTGGTCATTGTTATTGTTATCATTTTCCTTGAACAAATCTAAAATATCAGCTCTTGAGACTGTTGTGCGGTGAACAGAAACTATTATACCAGGAAAACCTTTTTCCCGGCGAGAAATAATTTCACCCTCTGTTCCGAACGAGGATTTCAGCTTCTTGGCTTTGTCACTAAAGGAAGACCCACTAGCATCAGCTTTACGCTTGCCACTTCTCAAATCATCAGCTTCTCCAACACCATTAGTTGGTAAGCTTGGTGAAATTGAAAGTTCTCCTGATGAGATCAAAGCAAACAAATGAAAAGTGTCCCCGCATTGAAGATTTTCAGCAAGATCAGTCCCCATTACGCTGAGGTCTTTGTCCCTTTCCTTCAGCCACGCAGAAAATTTAACAGCTTGCTTTCCAGTTTCAAAAGGAAATGGTGACTGGGAAACACTGTGCAAAAACCGCTGTGATAGTTCAAATCGACTGTTGTTGCCTCCAACCTGTCAAATGCCAATGTAATTAAAGCTTTTTCAAACACACATATTACATATTGTTTATATAAAATAGTAACAGAGGAAGTGGAGAAGAATAAGAAAACAGGATGCTAAAAATCTTAAAATGCAGAATCAAATTCAAATAAGTAGCAACAATACCAGACAAACATAACAATTTTTTAGGCTGTGTATCATGGTTTAAACCCTCTTCAGGAGCCTAAAATAATGACATCAAGTTAAAAGAAAAATGAAAGCTATAGTTTAATAAATATTAGTTAGGTTTTGGTAAACCTAATAAGTACATTCCGCCTAGCTTAAGGGGGTGTGTCACCTGTTTTATGTGAGTATACATGTACTTTAATCATACTCAATAATATTAAACTTTGGACATGTGTTCACAAACATGGGGCCAGTTTGGATTGACTTGACTTATTTGAGCCTATCTATTGACATAAAATTTTGTGAGACTGTTCGAAAGAACTTATAAAACAGCTTATGACATTATTCATAAACTATTTTTAACTCATTCTCATAAATTCTCCAAGATAGTTTAAGAATATAGCCTATAGCTTACTCGAAAATAATTTAACTTTATTTTATCCTTTGCTATAAAAACAACTTAAACATAAGCCTCTATCATGATAAGCACTTGTGCTATAAGCTGCAAATAAGTTGTTTATCAAAACAGGGTCACGTTCTCATTGTCTCTGACTAAGCTACAGCTTTTAAATGTAAGACTTATGTTGCACACATTCTCTCAATGTTAATCTACAACACATTTTCTATATGATAAGGCTTGCTACATTTATAGCCGACTTAAAAGCCTCTTTCAATTCTGGATGTATTTGTTTTTTTCATAACAAAGTCCCCTAGAAACTGATTAAACTATTATGACATGCAAACATATTCCTTTGTTTATGCATTATATAAATATATGATACATGTTATGATGCACAATAAAGGTAAATACTAGAGCAAGCAACAGTATAAGGTAAAGTTGAGCACAGTCCATCAACATCTTCTATCATGCCATGAATATAAAACTATGGGCGACTGAACTATTTACCATTATTTTTTTCTCTCTAAGATAGTTAAAAGCAGCAAGTAGATCATGCTCTGAATAACGCCGAAGAATGTCTGCTAATAAATTTGGTGCCAGTGGACTGGTAGCGGTGCTTAAAAAAACAAGCTTAAATAGCTCCACGGCATTTGAAACAGCCAATGACTCATATACTTGTCCATAAACACTGGGTCTGTTGTTTAGAAACTTGGAAATTTTCATATCAAGACATGATCTTTGGGAAGAAAATGTTTGGGGTTTCCCGTGATGGCTCTGAATAATCTCACTATGAACAGCTGATGTAGTTTTTTTATTTTCTTGAGATTCCTGCCACAAAAAATGATTCTTTAGGTCAGACCAGACAGCTTACAAAATAAATGAAGACTGTATTACATCAAATATTTAAA